ATTACAATTACATACATTTACGTATTATTACATACATATACATATTTGAGAGAGTAGAGAGCATCGAGAGAGAGAGAGAGAGAGAGAGAGAGAGGCAAGGGAAACATTGAGCATAGAGGCATCTTTTGTTCTCGGTCAGGCGTATATTTCGAATGATTGTGCTTTCGTATATTTTCGTAGCCCGAACCTAAAAGTGAAGAGCCGAGCAATTACGAAGTGGTCTGGGAGATTACGCTCGAAAAAAAATTGTGCAAAACGCTTTACACTATGTGTCCGGTCTATGTGTTCTCTGGTTAGTGGTATGCTAGACACGAGTCTCTAGCTGCAATACATGTAATTCGAGATCGGTACGTTCATACGGACAGACGGACGGAGGGACATCGACTCAGCTCGCCGCCCTGAACAGGAATATGTATACTTCATGGGGACTGCGATGCTTCCTTCTGCTTGTTACACACTTTTTACAAAACGATTATACCCTGACTTTCTATTTTCAATAAATAAAGGGTATGAAAATGTAAAATACAAGACTTTTACATACCGTATCTGGAGCACCCAATCGAAATGGCTGATTTAACCAGTATACCCTGATTTCCCATTGAAAATGGGTTCAGGGTATAAAAAGAAAACTTGACGAACCTGGCAAAAATGCAATTGACTAGAAATTTATAAATATTATGCCACACGTTATAATTCAAACTTGTCAATCTTCGATTTTTGGCAGGAGGCAACGGACCTTAAATTTTGGCAAAAAATATTTTATGTATTCCGGTAAGCTGTGTAACAAGCGAGCGAGTATTCTCCTCTTCTAGAAAAATTTTAAATGAAAGGCGCACAAGGCTATTAAGCGCAAATCTTGATATGCTCCTTTTTTTCTCTAAATAAAAACATGTAGTATTTCTGTAAATAATATTGTAATTTTAAGAATTAAATTGTTGTTATGTTTGAGAACAACAAATTTGTTGTAATTTCTAAGAATTAAATTTTTTTTGTAAGTGTTTCGGGCGGGCGGGTTGGGTGTGGGTATGCAATTTTTTTTTGCTTTCGGGTACCGATAAAATGTTGAACTTTTGACCGTGGGCGGATCGGGCCGGGTGCAAAAAAGTCGGCCCGTGCCCACCTCTAGTTCAGGGTATAAAAAGGATCAGCCATCATTTGCAAGATATGATATAAAATTAGGAAAAATTATAATTATTTGTCACGCACCTTTGACGATATTATCGTCCACTATCGAGACATTGAACAATCGATAGTTCAGTCGCTCGATAGTGGCCGACCATCGATAGTTTGGCACCTCTACTGTCAATTACTGATAGTCCTCAGCATCTAAACATATCATAGCCTGCTTCGGTCTAAAAATATGGCTCAGAATTTTTTTTAGTCTTTTGCACTGCAATACATTATCGTTGTAATGCTTGGACAAATGATAACAAATATGTCATTCACTTTAAGATGTTGGAGCTAATTATTTTTGTACTTTATCTTGAACGAATAATATTTACTTACTTGGGAAAACACGGGATATGAACTCTTTTGTATCAAACTATCACCGACCAAGTTGGTTGTTAATAGTTTTGCCAAGTTATGCCAGTCACGTCCTAATATACATCTGCGAGCTAAATTTAATTTCTTGTACGCATCGGAATGATTGTGAAGCTCATAATTAACTGGCGGCGCACATGATGAATTTTTGTTTAACCAAAATTTATCATTTGAATCGCTAACAATTTTAATTGTACGAGAAAGAACATGTTTTGGTATTGGTTTCGGCGGAAATCTTAAGGAACTGAATTTTCTTTCATATTTTTCTTCATAGTTTTGGTGTTGTTTTGCCTTCATTTCTAATAAAAACAAAAATAAAATCAACTTTAGGCTTTACTAAGTTAGAAGTTATAATGAAAATAGGGATACTGATTTATTTTTTCATATCGATATACAAGCGATGTTGATATTATATTGAGTCATCGATATTTAATTTATCTTACCATTTATTTGAGGTGTTGCTGACGTTCTTTTTATATTAAATCAAATAAAACAAATTTGCTCGTTTTTATTTAATGATTATATCGAACGTCTGGATATTGAATCGGTATTGTATTGTAATAATTTTGAATCAGATCAGAACTTTTATTAGCTTGATGTTATTTATTTTTATTTTAAATAGACAATAATTTAAAATGTATTAATTTCTTACCTAGTTTTTATACGTGCTAATCGCTAATATATTTGGCCTCTGTAATCAATATCAAGTATCTATAAAAATACTAAAATATCGATATAAATATATCTGGCATCCCTATTATTAAAAGTAGTCAGCATATCAATAAACTCTGCATTTGTTTACCTACAAATTGGAAACTGCATAACTTTTAAGAAGAATTGTAATTGTAGAATTGTTTGTCTACTTTAATATCTATGGTATAGTAAATTTATAGCTTTTTATTTACTTTCCCTTTCACAGCAAGTCGTGTACTTACACATAGATGCAATTACAAGCTTTTACATTATTTTAGGTTCAAAATGGATATTAAACCGGATTTGAATTTATTGCAACCCGATTTGACGGTTGGCAATTCAATGTCCATAGACAAATATATAAAAAGCGAAATTACTTTTGAGGAGGAACAAATAACGGAGACTTCATTCATGGATCTTCCAATGGAACAGATTTGTCAAGTAGAATTCGAGACAGTTTTGGACACCAGCGGGGAATGCTGTAGAAGTCTCAATAATAACGTTGGTGAAATGTGTGCACTTCAAAAAGATCCTGAACCATATCCATATATTGATTTGGAATTTTCGGATGCCTTAAATGATCATAACTATACATCTCAAGAAGTGCTCCTAGCACAACCTAGTTTGGATAGTGTTAAAGACGTACTCTTGAGTTACATGATAATCAATAGATCAACTGTTGAAACAGTCCCAGAAAATGTCACAGCTTTTATAGACAATACAATTGATAAAATGAAACAGTTTCAATTGAAAAACGCAGATAAAAAAGCTGATGAGAAATCTTCTATTGATGGTTTCACTCGGAGCAACAATGCGACTCTTTCAGAAAACTGCTCGGAGCCTTTGGAAGTTGAGGGTAATGATGAATATTTTGAAAGCCTTTATGAACACATTACTGAAAATCAAAGTGTGGCAAATAATGTTTTCAAGAATACAATTGATTTTGTAAAGGATTTCTATAATGAATGCAAATCATTTTCATCCAAAGCGGAAGAGGATTTTAAAGATTATATATTTGAAAAAATTAAAAAACTTAAGATAGTTGCCAATATTATAAAAACAACTGATCAATCTACTCAAACGTTTTCGAAAGGTTTGTTAAAGAAAAGACTTCGAATTAATTATAACGCAAAAAAGTATCTGTTAGATACATCCGCTACATCGACCACAGAAAGTGAGTGTGATATTATGGATGATTTTAAGGAAAACGAAAGTGCAAAAGATCGAAACTTTTTGGCTAAGACTTTTGAATACAGCGACGGTATTGATCTTAGAAAATATATTAATTTAGATTTTAACAAAAGTAGTTTTTGGCAATCTTGTGATTTTGATAATGACAACACAAATTCATGTTCTTCCGAAAATGGTACGGATAAAGAAATAGAAAGGTATGTAGTTATAAATATGCTTTTAATAATATTTAACTTTTCGCTAAAAACATAACTTTTATTTTAAGTGCAAGATTAACATATTTTGGTAAACCAAATAAAATTAAAAAAAAAAAAAAAACCCTAATTGGTAGACTCATTTAAAAGATARAGCAGCAATATTTAGATATAATTAAGGTATCTCCTATTCAGATGGTCTCGTCATGTTTAATGCTTTTCAAAATATAATGCTCAATAACAATATTTTCAATGATTAGGCTTACCAATTTAAATGGACTTAAAAAGCGACATGTGCAAAACAGGGGAGCCAAATCCAATGATAAAATCAATCAAAAACTTGTAGGTACTAAAAATGCAACTCCGCCTACTGAAATGGATGATGATATGGAGATGTATGATACTGAACACAGTTTCAAAGAAGTGAGTTTGTATGTAGTTTAAAAATAACATGTACAAGATGTTATTTTTAGAATCAAAATTCATCATTATATCCCATATACTAAGCCAGTTTTTTTTTTTTTTTTTTTTTTTGTAGAGTGATGATGAGATTATAACGGAGAACCAATACCTTTTACGATTTAACGAACAAGTTAAACAACAATTATTAAATGAGTCAAACAGTGATGATTCTGGTCTTTCGGATCAAAGCGAATACAATCTCTCGAAAGAATCGTCTACGGAAGATGAATATAATACAGATGTAGTAGACAAATTTCTGCAAGTTTTTGAAAGTGAACCAGATAATATGAATAGGGACGTAAAAATTAACGAAATTAAAGAAAGTAAAGTGGAATCTGAGAAGAAAGAGACTGATAGTTCTGAAGTTTGCGATGAACTATGGAATGATAACTTTATTCACAAAAACAAACCCAAAAAATCATTGGAGAAACTTTTATCTGAAGCGGAAAAACGTAATCAAAATGAGGAAATTGTGCTGAGTTCAGAGAGTGATTATTCTGATGCGGAGCCAGAACCAGTTGAAGAAAAGACGAGATTTATTAAGCCAATGCTTCGTATGGATCAGTTGGCTAATGAAACAAGAGCTGCTCAAAAATCAGAAAGTGAAAGAATACGAAGACTGGAAAAAAAACATGTGATGTTATCTAAAGCTATAAAAAATAAATTAGGAAATTCAAAAACAGGTGATTTAATACTGGATTACATGGAAAACACAAAAACATTTATAAAGGTCGATGATGACATCGTGAAACAATTAAAGCCTCACCAAATTGATGGAGTTAAGTTCATGTATGATTCATGCTATGGAGGAATTGATCACTCTAAAAAGAACTCTGGCTCGGGATGCATATTGGCTCATTGCATGGGCTTGGGGAAAACATTGCAGGTGAAGCGTTATTTAAAAAACATTATATTAGAAACAAATGAACATATTCTATATACCTTTAGTTAATAGCTTTACTACACACCGTTATTTCATACAAAGAACTAAACACAACAAAAATCCTAGTTCTCTGTCCAAAGAGCACGGTTATGAATTGGGCTGATGAGCTGCAACGCTGGTTGGGGCCACTGAAAAGTAGTACTCATATAAAAGTTTTCGTTTTTCCGGATTCATCGTAAGTTTTAATTTTAAAAATTAATAAGTTTTGCTTGTATGTAGTATAGAATAAATTTTACCTTTACCTTTGTACCCTGAACCCATTTTCAATGGGAAATCAGGGTATAATGGTT